TCTGGCATATTTTGAATCTAGTTTTGTGCGTACACGTTAATTGACAAACCATTTATCGGCATAAGCGACTATTTCGCACATTCGACGCAATGATTGTTATTATTACTATAATTACTACAACACACATTTCACAAATCACCGACCTTTTCTTCACCGACGCGGGAGCATCGCTAACAAAATCGTGATGCTGCTAACAGCATGAGCACGAAGTTGCCAATATCGTCCAAGGACTCTATTGAACATCGCATTTCAACTTCAAATTCAAATAATTTATTCCACATCATAGAATATACATAACACACAGATATTATACAAGGATATGTGAAAATACATAAATGGTTTAAATTACAAATAGTGTTTGTAGTTTACGCGAGTAGTACACATTTAGATAAAACACTTGAACGGTTTAAAACGCGATACATATGAGTCAACCTTATTTGAAAATTATTTTAACTACGACCCGACGTTTCGGATGCTTTGCAACAGTCGTGGTCAAGGGTAGACTAAGATAATTTTCAAATAATTTTCACTAATAGATTTCGCATTTTAAACCGTTACAGTGTTTTATTTAAACAGAAATCATATGTTAAAGAAAGGCCTATTTTATAGCAATCTATTAAGTTTTTGAGTGGCGTATAGTAAATAAATATATTTCGTTCTTTCAATCACTGCCTGTATATAAAAAGCGGCGAATTCTCGAGCCACGTTTCGCTTTCAGAATCTAGAACTTCTTATGTCCTATGTATTTTGTCATAAAACACATTCTAACTACACTCTACAATTTTTCGCATTGCCCAAGTTAGACCTTCATTGACAAACTTCGGTGCCGAAAAGTACTTGAATTTTTTCAAACACAAGATCACGAGACGAGACGTAGACTAAATTGCAATCAATTGTCGCGTCCTGATTGGTCGATAACTCGCCTTTCAATAAAACGGACCAATCAGAACGCTCGGGGGTTAATTGGAGTGAACTGTCTATTGATTCATTGTGAGATGTTTGTTGAGCTTATCAGTAACTAGCTGTGTCAGCGACTTCGTCCGTGTAAAACAGTTATTTTTAGCATCCAAATTTGTTTTAAATAAAACACTTTAACGGTTTAAAACGCGAAGTTAAAAATCATTTTCAAATAAGTTTAACTAATATGTCGCGTTTTAAACCGTTAAAGTGTTTTATTTAAATGTGTACTACTCGCGGAAACTATAGACAGTATCAAATTTGTTTTTGCAAACCTGATGTCGACAGATAGGTATGATTTATATAGACAGCAAACTCTTAGTTAACTTACACATTTTAGTACACATGTAAATAAAACACTTTAACGGTTTAAAACACGATATATTTTAGTAAAACTTGTTTGAAAATTATTTAACCCTAAAAATTACGGATATTACTTCTAAACTGCAACTGACTAATTGTCTATTATAACACTTGTTATCTACACTCGACTGGAGCTCATTAAGATTATGTAAATTCGGTTATGATTAGTCACATTGTATTTACAGAAATTGTCACTAATTATGTTTAATTTTCTTCGGATTTCTATATTAGAATTATTTATTTCAGCATATCATTGTCTTTCGGGCTGTTCCGCCGATGTGAGCGTGAAGAGGTTCTCGACGTGCTGCAGTTAGTAGGAGTTGGTGGAGTAACGAACATTTTGAATCATTTGTGAGATATATATATATGAAATATGGGGCTGCTAGAAGCAGGGTGGCTTAATTAGCATTTTAATGTGGCATTTTTATTTTCCTCTTTATTTAAAGGTTATGTTTTTTGTTATTAGGCCACTCTACCTCTAGCAGCCTCATATGACAGAAGACGTATTCACCAATCACGTACGTATCACGTATCAAGTGAGGTAGTGTGATTTTAGAGTGGGATAATTCACATACCATCAAGTGAAACTTTCAAACCGTGCTTGCCTGTCTTCTTCTATTATAAAAAAAACCTTCCATTTTCGAAGCATTTGGAAAATGGTTATCCACGTTTTAACCATCACGAGCCGATGACATCATTAGAAAATGATGCGCGTATCTCGTTTAGCCGGTCGAACAACTCGAAAAGCCTAGTAGCTTTGCAAAATACTAATATATAAAGCTGAAGAGTTTGCTTGTTTGTTTGAGAACGTGTTAATCTCAGGATCTACTGGTAGGAATTGAAAAATCTTTTTGTGTTGCTTAGGGGCTATAAAACATTGCGATGCGACTAATAGGAGCGAAAAGATTACGGGAAATTTGGTGAAAACGGTTCAAAACACCCAAAAATATGTACGACAGAATGATTCCTCTTTAAATGATCTAAAAAACAGTCCAGGACTATATGTCTATCTTTTCAGATTTTGCTCGTCAAATAACTATTCTACGCGGACGAAGTCGCTGCCACAGCTAGTATTTAATGAAGCTGCCTACAGTACATTGGTCGTAAAGGCGTCAACTCTCATGATAGCAGCATACTGTATCCAGTCCTTTAATACTGTTTCTACAAAATATATTGCCTTAACAGTGTAACAATTCCACGTGACCTGACAACTGTAGTCATCGTCCTGTTTGCAGACGGCTTAAACTTCTGTTTTCAGCGTCTCTCTTTGCATTACTTATACTTTTATTTAAACACAAAATCGTGACCAAATATGGAAGACGCGTGACGTCAAAGAAATTGTTTAATAATCAAATGAACAAACATTCTTGGTGTCTTTATAACTACCGATGTCTAGTAAGAATTCAGCATATCATTGTTTTTTCTTCGAGCAATCGAGAAGTTAACATCTCCCGATGATGCCCCGTCCGCTCGTGATGGCGAAACGTCGAGAACCTCTTCTCGCTCACATCGGCCGAACTGCCCGAAAAACAATGGCTGTGAAAGCCTTACACACTTCTACGCCTTATTTAACATTTCTTTTCTAATTAAATACTAATTCGTTCTACTTTCTGATAGGTGTTTCCCAGTATGATAATATCTAGAAGTTACTAAATTAATCGTTACTTAATTTAATTCCCATTTAAGATTACCATAAAATGACATAACGACACGATTATCATAAACCACGTTTTATTGGGCATTGATTACATTGTACGATATTTTTAACACTGAAATTAGAATTTATATGATAGTTAATAAGTTTTAGATTAAATAAATAAAAAAAAAAACAAATCACAACAAATAATATAGATATGTATACAAGAGCTTAAAACTTGCATTCGAAACATGATAACTGCTCCACACGTGCTTTTATGATCTCATGTAAGAATTGTTATTTCGTTTAATTAAACTATAACAGCTTTTTTATCTGAGAAATATAATGATATCAGATAAATATTGTGTTATGCCATAATAGCAAGAAAACAAATTTCACTTTTAGCAAAATAGCGTTAAAAATTATCTGTATTTCACGCGAATGGTCCAGGTTTAGTGCAGTCAGATTTATTTTCTAAGCTTAAGGAAACAAACATACGTATGACAAGTATTTTTGGCACAGGAATTACATAGAAGGATAATGTTTTATTCAAATAAAACACTTTAACGGTTCAAAACGTGATATATTAGTTAAACTTATTTGAAAATGTTTTTAAACTTCGACCCGACGTTTCGGATGCTTTGCAGCCGTGGTATCCTCGTGGTCACGGGGAGTCCACGTCTGTTAAAGCGTTTTATTTAAATGTGTACTACTCGCGTAAACTATAGACAGTATTTATTTGTACCGGATTTTTTTTGTATATTCTACTAATTTCACAGCTTTCATCATTTTAAATAATTAATTTGAATCATGATAAACGGTGGCCGTGACCTCGCAAGTGGTGTAAAAACGTGTGCTTATTACGAACAACGAATTTTTTTTATACTTCCAACCGTTATATCACGGTTATGGCAACACTTATAAAAATAGTTTGTATGCATTTTTTGTAGAGAATCGGTTGATCTGCAATGGTAGTCACCGTTACCACGGTTTGCCTGAAAAACGCGACAAAACCTATTACTCCAGACTTTCACTATTAATAACAAAATTGCCCAAGGTGATTGATTATACCATTCTGAATACTCATACCAATTTATAGCTCTATGGAAATGAATGTAACCATACCTATATTTTACCGCCTTTGTAGCTAAATGGTTAAACGTATTGCCTAGCAATTGCATTAAGCGCGAGAGGTCCTAGGTTCGAATCCCGGGGAAACAGTTAATTGTTTCGGTAGAGCAGGGTACTGAAGTCTGACTACTTGCCTGTAAATAAAGCCGATCAGTGAAACGGACACAGAAATGTGTCCGCCCCCTGCCCCACGAAGGGAAGCGGTATTTTACTTTGTAGCTGTATTTTACGGACTAATTTGACTGAACTGAATCATTATGAATTGTCATAATGATTTTTGCTTTTTTTAGTTCCTAGGTATATATAATACAACAGATTTAGTTAAACGTGATATTCAATTTTCATTACCAATGCTATCTAACACTGGTATTTATATTATGACAGATTCACTATCAAAGACTATACAATAATAAATACTTGACATATGATTAGAATATTATCAATACAAATAAGGAAAGCGCGTGATGGAATCGTGCATGGAGAGATGTTTCCCCTGCTGCACATTAAACAAAACATTTCCGGGTGAAAAGAGAAATTTATTTTTTTTCCGTGTGAGGAGATGTGTGTGTCTGTGTGTGTCGTCAACTCAAAAAAATGCCAACTATCTTTTAAATCCAATTTACAATAACGACAGGACAGTCTTTTTTTTTCTTACATTTTTATTGTCTTAATTAGATGAGGAATCGTATTAAAGGTTAATAAATATATAAAAAAAATAAAATAAAATAAAACACACGTGACCACGGGCTGCGGCATCCGAAACGTTAGGCCCTTGTTAAAATAATTTTTAAATGAGTTTAAGTATTATATTAAATATATTTCGCGTTTTAAACCGTTACATTTTTTATTTAAACGTATTAAACGACTAAAAATATATGATGCTTTAGTTGCACTATACGTGTGAAACTACGTTTCATTGTACAGGGTAGAAATTTGTCTCCGATTTTCTCATCATTGTGGACAAGTAGTCTGACTTCTGCGCTTGTCGTACTAAACTCTTACTGACCATGATTTAAACCAGTCAAGCGCAATTTTAGACAATGTGTCATGTATTTAAGTAGAGTAACTAAGTGAAAAAATGTTGTCTGTAGTTTACGTGAGTAGTACCTACCTGCACAATTTAGTAAAAAACACATCAGGCCGTAGTAAAAATAATATGTAAATAAGTTTAACTATAATATTTCGCATTTTGAACCGTTAAAATGTTTTATTTAAATTAGTAAGAATAGTTAAGTCATTCGTGATCATTTCTAACGGATTTTACTTGATATTATTTCCTTTTTGTGAAAGAGAACGGACAAGCATGGGGTTGATGGAAGTTGAAATAAACCATTTAACATGTATGATGCGCTGTCGACCCATTTCGGCTTTGGACAGTTTTCGTAGCTAAGACCTAAAGTACCCATTTCCGTCCATGTAATGGTGCCTAAATGAAGTGCAATGACCGATCAGCACTTCAACACGTGGTCGGTGAGTTTTAAACGCGTGGTCATACTGTACTATTTATCAAACGATGGACTACATCGGACAAGTATCAGGTATTTAAGATACATATGTATTTGATGTCTTAGGTATTCACTACATAGTATGAAACATAGTCGCTTTTCTGTCCCTATGTACACTTAAATCTTTTTAACTACGCAGCAGATTTTGTTGTGTTTTTTTAACAGATCGATGCAACGTTCACAGTTCTTCACAGGTCTTTAAATTTATCTTTAAAAAGCAATTTATCGTATATTTATTATCAATTTTATATTTATTAGAAGTTTTTGACTTTTTTATATTTTGATATTAAGTATTTTTAGAAGATCTATTTATTACTTTTATATTATTACGTTTTCAACATTGCTTCTAAATAAATTTTAGAGGCGTTATAAATGATATATCGCTTATTATATTTATATATATTACTTTAAGCTGTTAAACGCGAATATAATAATTAATAGCCACGACGTAACGTTTTGGCTTTTTTACAGTAGAATTACTCATTTGAATTATCCATGAATAAGTTCCTAATAGTCAATTAACATCCAACAAAAAACTGTACAAGAATATTGTTATCGTTTTAAGAGTCATTAAACATTTTGGTCTATTGTAAAGCGCGTGATACTCAATTGCGTAAAGTAAATGAATGTTAATCTGATAAGAAGCAAATTGGCGAATCTTACGAACAGTCTTACTCACACCGTATTATACATACTTTAGAACATATTTTAGAAAAAAAATCGGTTTGACAAATATGAACATTTAGGACATATTTGTTTGATGGATATTGAACCGTTAAAAGTTTAAAATATTCTGCACAACAAAACACTTAAAAGTATATTTTTTATAGTCATATTGTTTTTTTAGGCTCTTAGTTGAAGTCTCTAGGTTGTAAGTCTTGGTATGAGATTTGAAGCAATTTTATATTAAGATTTACAAATATCGCTTTTGGTAGTCTCTTTAAATATTCGTGTAAAACCGCAGGCAATACCGTTAGTTTGTTAATATTATTTTGAAATACTAGGTTTCACTGTTTTTACTCAGATTCGGTATAGTAACTTGCGACGCGTTCGTATCTCGGCCCCGACATGGCAAAAGGAGGTCAATTTTGAAAGTAGTGTGTTAAAATAACAACATAATCGAATTCTGTTGATGACCCGCGAATATCATTGCTGCGCGTGATTCATTAAATTGCTAGTGTCACTATTGTTTTGAAGGTAGTTCCTAGGTATATATAATAGCACAAGTTAAATATTCTGTATGTCTAATTGACAGTTAAGAATTTTCTCTACTTAATAAATCACTTATTTTAATATTAAAATTTTTTAAGTTAATAAATTGTCAGCCCTCTGTTTTAAAAAATTAAAACTTTTACTTAAGAATGTCAATTGTCAGTTGACAATTTTATTAATCTAATAAGATATTATTCTTATATGAATTGCATTGGAATTTGACAACTAATTTTAAATATTTGCTATCTTGGTAGCATTGATAATCTCACAACTTAATTGTTTATAAATCATAAAGTTACTTATCTCTGTAGTTTTTATAGCACAAATTATCTTATCACTCAAAATAATAAATATGTGGTGGAACTTCAATTTAAATGTATATATGTATTTAAATATTATTTTAAACATCTACAGGGCATTGTCTAATTATTAAACTTATATCATTAACATATTCTTGTCTTAATTACTTGAGAAGTGATAGGCATAAAAATACAGCTATGTTTGATATACTAATATGAATATAATAAGTGCATATCTCATGCCTAGCATGCAAGACTTAGGTCTTATATACCTCTATGGACTATCCAAACATAATATCATATTGCATGATGTACAAATCATTTTCAGTAATATAAGTATTATTTGACAAGTAATAGCTATGAAACTGAATGTAAACAAATGCTCAAAGATAACTTGACGTTTAGCCAAGTCAATATTTTCAGGGTCACGAGCTGTCTTCGAAGAAATTGTTTTCCATACGCATAATAAAAGTGTGATCTAAAAATATGCGCAAAGTCGCGAAAATGCGCCGCTATCACGTGTTATTAATATTATTCTCACCTTTCAGTTACTGGGACGGCTTTCGATTTCAGCTCGTAGAACATGAAATCCTGTTGAGGCTGACCGGTAGTCATTTCTTCTAAGATCTTCTGGTCAATATTAAAATCATTCGTGAGAAGGGATGCGAGATCGTATCCCATATCGATGCCGGACTCATCCATATTATTCAAACCACTTTCACTAACTTTCCACAATTCCGAGTATTATTTACGAAAACAAAATCATACTAAAGCACGCAAAATTAAATTGTTTACACGAGAAAGGATGATTATCACAGCATCCATCCTCACAGCTGTCTACTTGTTGCTATTGTTGTTTCAATTTTCGAACTGTGTTGCCAGTTACTGGCTCAGCTCAGCACAACATAATGAGAATTTGTCACGAGGTAACCATCGATGACCCTCTCGTACTACTGAAAAAAAAGACCAATACGTAACAGCCAAACTAAGAGATCTATTTACTATCTCTCAAACCAAAAAACGCACCAAAAGCATTATCTTGACATTGTTTTGATCAGATGCGATTTAATAAACGAATAGATTGTATTTATAAAGTGGGCAGTACCTTCATCAACACAGAGTACTTAAATAATCATTTTGTCTGTGGTGGTCTTATCATAGACAAAATGTCTAATCTTTGACCTTGACAGTAAAACTTTATGGTATTATTTTGAGTGCTGTGAGCTAGGTTTGAATTTGTAAACGCTGTATATTTTATCTGTGTCGTAAAGTGGTTTGAAAGCTTGAAATACACTAATTGTTTTCTTGTTGCTAATTCAGCTAAACAAATACTGTTAAATATTTGCTATCGCTAGTTTCAAATTCTAACAATATATTAACATGTCGAAGGCACATCCACCAGAGCTAAAAAAGTAAGTATAATTGCGGTACAAACATAACCTAACTTAGCCTATACGCCGTTATTAAAATGTTATCGCATTTTTATCAATAACTGTTTCGTTGCTTAGTATATTTCTTTTTAAATTCAGCTTACCAGTTTTAACTTTGTTTTTTAAGGTTCATGGACAAAAAGTTGTCAATTAAGTTGAACGCCGGGCGAGCTGTTATTGGCGTCCTTCGGGGATTCGATCCATTCATGAATCTTGTGCTTGATGAGTCAGTAGAAGAATCCAAGGATGGCCAACGTAACAATATTGGCATGGTGGTATGTAACTAATAATCCTGTATAAAACCATCTAATAGTGAAATTTTGTTTATTTAGAGATAAATACTGACATGTTTATACTTGACAAGACAAAGATCTGCAATAACTTAGATCCATTATTTGTTAATAATAATTATTTGAAGTTAATTATTACAGCAGTTCTCTGGGCTCAAAAACATTTAATAATCTATACATTCTCTTTAACAATAAGACTGACAGACAGTAAGTAATTGCAATATCACTCAATTTTAAAAGCCAGGTCTTAGTTTATCAATTTCTTTTTTAACTCCCTTTAAAGCAGTAACTTAGTGTATAAAGATTTTACCGTCCAACAACAACCATCAACAATTTTTTCCTGCTAGTGCCCCGATATCCCTTAAATACTGCCGCATGTGTAATCTTTTCATGAATTATTCTTGTGTTCCAGATTCAGCCATTTCTACCATAAATTCTATAATGCAGCAGATAGCATTACAGAGCTACGGTATTCAAATTTGATATTATTGTTTCAGGTAATCCGAGGGAATAGTATTGTCATGTTGGAGTCACTAGATAGAATATAGTATTAGGTTTGCTAATTAAGTTTAGATTAAGAGTTTAAACAATAAAGTAAGGGTAAAATAAGTATAACATTTTTGTTTTCTTTTTGATTATGCTTAAAAACTTATTAGTGAAGTAGAGAGCACAGACTTGAGCAATATACACCGTGCCCATTTCTGCGTAAGTTATTTATTAATTAACTTTTTAAGCGTATTTTGTCTTAAAACTTAATCACAGAAATGGCTCATAAAGATTTAGCCATAATCTGTGGATTGAAGAAAAGTTAATTATCTGCTTTGACAGTGACAGACAATGATTCTTATATTCTATGGTCATATATCCTTCAAGTACCATTGCACTATTCTAATTCTGTGCATTATTATTTTGTTTGTTAAATAAACAATGTATTTTTTACTTAACCATACCAAAATATATGTTTAATTTATGTTTATTTGAAATAATGGTAGTTTACTCATAGCTGAAACAGACTCGTAAAACATAGTGAATATTATTTAAGTGTCGTGAAGTAAGTTTCAGTACTTTTTTATTGTATACTTAGGCCTATGATTATTACGACCATTGTTCACACAAAACTTAACAAGGTTTCTTGTGTATTTGTATGGGTTCGTGTATCGTCGCACTGTCTTTGAGTAAAAGATTAAAATACAATATAGCTAGCAAGCAGTGTCGGTTACCGTTGGCCGTTTTTTTGCGCTGTGTTAGATGAGGTCATAATTATTAGAATGTGGGTCGCATCACATTATCATACTGCCGTGGGTAAATACTGTTGCCATTGAACTAAGAAATTATTTTCAAGTTATAACTAGTACAACACAGCACTGATTGTTAAAATGGGAGATATTCAACTTTGTAAGTCTTAAAAATTATATCAAGTCAGAAAAGATAATATATCTTTAGCTTTGTTTAATATACAATCATAGTCTGTTTGATAAATATTTTTTATTGTTTGTAGAGATCAAATACGAGACAATTTTTAACATTTAAAAGAGTGCATTCACTTAAATATTATGAAATTACTTGAACTGGTAGCAATTTAGACATATCCAGAATTAATTTGTAAAAATGTATATATTTGAACAATTTCACACATATTATCTAAAAACACTTTGATTGGTTTAAAATGCGAAAAGTGCCATTGACAAGTTTAGACTAAACTTATAATTAAACTTTGTTTTTTTCTAAATTATATAATTTTTTTATATAAAAAAAATATACATTGAATATAAATTATGACATGGGCAGGACTTGAACCCGCATCAACAGAGTTTAGTGCTTTTGATCTATGGATGCTGGTTCAATTTTTAATAAATAAACTCTAAAGTGTAAATTCGTCACATGATACTTTTCACATTTTCAAAGCAATCAAAGGGTTTTTTATGTTACTTTTTTCAAATATATCTATTTTTACAAATTATATTTAAAAATCTTCCCTAGATATGTATTAACTGTTAACAGTTGAAGAAAATTTTATAATATTTAATTCCAATCACTCTTATAAATGTAAAAATCTGATATTTGACACTTTTCCTCCTCCATGTCCTATTTTTTAAATTTTTATAGTGCCATCGTGTGAAAAATATTCAAGTTTTCAAAAGAAATAATAAATACTTAATGTGTATCATACATGATTTTTTTAGCATTGCTTCCGACATTCTGATTAATGTTACATGCATGTGTTGTATTAATGAGTCATAATTATTTTCCTGTTTGAATAAAAATCACATGCTTCAGTACATCTTGATAACATTTATTCAATGTAGTCTATAAATGATGTTCCACTATATTTAAAATATATTTGTCTGTATTGTACATTCATGTGTAAATGGACTGATTCATGTTATGATACAGAAATCGGTAATCCAGGGTACAAATAATACCTAAACATGTGTTCAAATGTGTGATTTAAATATAAATTACAACAAATTTTCTTATTCAAGCAATTGGTATCAACAACCACATTTATTGTCAGAAAATATAACTATTATTAATTTTTTTACAGGCTTTTTGGCATGCCTAATAATTAACTGGTTGTGGATTTGATTTCAAATGAGTCCAACATATTTTAAATCAATTTAATAAAACTTTGAATTCCATGGTTGTCCATGATCATCCGCAAAAAAAGCGGTCAAAATAGGTCACAGCACATCTAGATTCATATGGAAGGGCAATTATACCTTAAAACCAGTGAAACCAATCTTGGTGTCATAAGACAATTATTCCTTTCAGCGACGAAGCCAGCTATAATGGCTGAAACAATGGATCCCTTAGCACCAAGTGTAAACAATTCTAGCCTTACTCCGAGCCTTATGAATAAATTAAGAATGAGATTCAGCAGCGGGTCTACGCCAAGACCATTGGGGGATGGTATGTATTGATAATTTATATCTATTTTAAAGGTATACCACAAATAACAAACTTTACTTGTTTTTTTTTTAATTTTCTGGGGCATATTTGGATTATTCATGATCTTCCTGTTGCACTAAGTCAGTAAATACATGAAGAAAGTTTGCATTTTGATATAATTATTTGGTATTTTAGTACCATATTAAAATTAAATACTGTCTATAGTTAACGCGAGTAGTACACATTTAAATAAAACACTTTAACGGTTGAAAACGCGATATATTAGTTATGGCCACGTGGTCAAGTTAAAAATCATTTTCAAATAAGTTTAACTAATATATCGCGTTTTAAACCGTTAAAGTGTTTTATTTAAATGTGTACTACTCGCGTAAACTATAGACAGGGCAAGTAGTTGATCAGATTTCTGAACCCTGCCCGACCGAAACAATTTTTTTTTTTGTTTACCTGGGATTCGAACCCAGGACCTTAAGGTTTAAAAAAGTTAGTATTTCTACCTTTACAAATATTTTCTTATCGTACTTAAAGGAAAGTTGCAAGCACCAGTGATTTATTTTTTAAATATAAATACGGTACAAATCTATATGTGTAGTATTTATCTACAAAGTAACATCAGATGTAATCAAACTACACCCACTTTCTGTACATAATGGAGATTATGAAAAATGTAATTTCTTAATCTAGAAAAGTGACTCTTGATGAAGTCAAGGTTACAAAAAATCTTGAGGTCATTTGAGCACTGTTTACAATTGCAGTCGATTTGCTCATTTGTAACAGCAACATGGTTGAGAAGCATTTTAGCGGTAATAAATAATTTTGATTTAAATAAAACACTAACGGTTTAAAACGCGAAATATATTAGTTGAATTTATTTCAAAATTATTTTAACTACACCTTGATATCTCCCCGTGATCACGACTGCTAAAGCATCCGTAACCGCAACTGTAGTTAAAAGAATTTTCAAATAAGTTTAACTAATATATTTTGCGTTTTAAACCGTTCAAGTGTTTTATTTAAATGTGTACTACTTGCGTAAGCTACAGACAGTATTTAAATAATTTAAAATTACTCTATTTCTTACTAATTAAATGAGAGCAATTAATTCTTATTGTCATCGGTTTCAGGATATGTGGAATTTGGTGAATTCAGATCGCAGGCCCCTGGTATTAAAAAGGTGGGCACTTTTGCCGGAGTATTCTGTCCTGTGGTGTTATCAATGTTCAGTGCACTAATTTTTATACGAATGGGTAAGTTATTTCTATAGATATATTCACTGTTCACTTCGTTATGTTAAGTTAGTAATTTTATACCTCCAAAATGGCTAGATCGAGATCACTTAAACTGCTGTCCCCAGGCCAATCTAGACAATTTTTGTTTCAATTTAATTAGAGCCCAGTACCTATAGTGACTAAAGCAAAGCATACTAAGCCATGTTTTGGAGCATGTAGGTGAACTATATTATAATTATGTGTCATATAAATATGTAATACATCAACTATATAAATTAAAATGTGTACTGTGTGTTTGTTTTGAAAATTGATATTTGTATATGTGATAGCAGTGTATAAATTAGTAATCGATTTTAGAAAAATATTTACGACACTTACCTACACGACACAGTGCTGTTGCTCTAATCAACTGAGCGGAAGCTCTAGTCAATAGCTATGGATGCTGGTTCGAGTCCTGCCCGTGTAGTAGATTTGTCAATCTTAAATCGTTTTTTAATTCTTATATTGTTTGTTTTCTAGTTGATTAAAGATTGTGTAAAAATTACTTTCAGGCTATTTGGTAGGTAATGCCGGAACTCTAGTCACATTAGCACAATTCGGTATGGCTTACTTGATAGTTGGGTTTACTGTGATGTCTATCTGTGCTATATCTACTAATGGTGCTGTGGAAGGAGGGGGGGTGTACTGTATCCTTTTATTTTTATATAACCTATTACAGAACATGCATAAGATATTATTTTTTTTTCCAAAGAAACCGGAATGTTTAAAGATTGTGATAGTGGGTGACGCAATGTCCTCTAATAATAAAGCAAAAGATGGTGTTTTTCTTTACTATTTGGTATACAATACTAATACGTACAGAAGCCTAAAAACAGTTCGTACGTACTAATAAACTGAATCTCAATTAGATTCAAATAAATTTAGAGACGTCTATTTTTATTTAATATTAATATTATTTCCTAAACAATATCAGTTATGATAAGCAGAACATTGGGTCCCGAGTTCGGTGGGGCAATAGGGACGTTGTTTTTCTTTGCAAATGTCGTCTCTAGCGCCCTCTGTATCTCAGCGTGTACTGAAGCTCTTGTAGAAAATTTCGGTCCGAATGGTAAGTTTTAATTAGTTCTAAGATAAATGTGTTGTTAGCTTTAAAATGAGGAGTTAAGGTTTCGTGGCTAAACAGACAACAATATCATAAATGTAATTAGCATTTACTACCTTATTTATGATTATGATACCTTTATTGTCCCGCTTGTCTCTTCCTTAAGAGAGACAAGCGGGGTTGACTTGATTGTAGGTGACATACTCAGAATTTAACACATTATATTCAGAAATTAAGAGACTGTAACCGAAACGCGATTAAATTTTCCGTCTATGGACGGTGGTTCGTGATCTGATATTTCGATATTCCTATCACCCATTCAATATCGTCATTTCCAGACGAAGTCCAACGTGTTTTATGACAATTATAATTGATTAGAAAAATCTTGGTTCCGGTGAAAATCGAACCCACGACCCAGTCGTTATTAGCTATTCATTGCTACCATTACACCAACAAGCCTGCCATATGCATATTTTTGTTTGTCCCAGCTACATTGGGAATAAAGTCTGATATTGTGTGACCGACTAATTCAATTTATATTTTTTCAATAAAATTTTGGTCTGGAAATCTGGATATTAAATGTGAGGGAGGAATATCGATATTCCGTTCAGGTCTACCGCCGTCCTCAGCTGAAAAAATAGTACAGAGAATCGCGTTGCAGTATAAGTCTGGGTTTCCAAAAATGTAAAGCCAAATTAAGTCGACAGCAAATCTTAGTGCGATGTAATCATGCATTGTTATCGCATTAGGTTACCTGGTCGGCGACAGCCCGGGTCTTCCGAATGGCGAATGGTACAGGTTCTTGTATCGATCAGTGTTAAACACTGTCGGCTTGAGCGTGTCCTTGGCTGGTGCCTCACTCTTCGCTAGAACCAGCCTCGCCATTTGGGTCACGATGGTGGTGTGCCTGGCCAGCGCTTTCTTGAGTTTCTTCATAACAGCTCCTGGAAATGTAAGAATTTGATATAATGTTGTATGTAGTTTACGCGAGTTGTACTCATTTGTTTTAAGGCTTTTAACGGTTTAAAACGCGATATAATTATGTAGTTAAACATCAATTATTTTGTTTTTTCTGTAGTTTACTATAGTACTCATTTAAATTAAACATTCAACTGTTTCAAACGAGAGACAATTTAGTTGGATTACTTTTTCTATATTTTAACTATGGCCAAAGTTTCGAATGCTTTGCGTCGGCTATGGTCACGGAAAAACTCAATTAAAAATAAGTTAATTAGTAAATTTCGTGTTTTAACTGTGACAAAGATTTTATTAAAAAAAAAAGTACCTATGGCGTTTCTACTTAAAGCTTATATCAGTTAAGTTACAAAGGCCCTTTTCAGTTTCGGTTCAATATATTAGTATTTAGTGGAGGGATGAGGGTCGTTTCCCTCGCTCTTTAAACATATTGTGGACTAATTTGATTTTGCCATACTTCTGAATCTCTATCTCTTCTAAAAGCTACCAACCCGTAGTTTACGCGAGTAGGACACATTTAAATAAAACACTTTAACGGTTTAAAACGCGATATATTTTAGTTAATAACTTGCTTGTTGTCGGGCCGTAGTTAAAAATAATTTTAAACAAGCTTAACTAAAATATATCGCATTTTAAACCGTTAGTGTTTTGTTTAAACCTTCTTTTACTAAAATAGCACTGCTTGTATTTCCAGATCGAAAGACCAGCCACAAATCAGCTGGTGAATATCACCTCTTTTAAGTACACGGGCTTAAGCATATCTACGTTCTATGAGAATTTATACCCGAAGTACGGCAGAGACTACAGTACTGAAGATGGAGACTTGGTCGATTTCGCGTCTGTTTTTGGAGTTTTGTTCACTGGGGTGACTGGCGTTATGGCTGGGGCTAATATGAGCGGTGAGACAAAGCAATAAGATATATGTGGTAGGCCTATTTTTTTTAGTACAATACAATAATTGTATAGTCTTTATAATTAAATGATTATCAAATTGTTTTAAAGCCTTGTACTATGTCTCAGAAGGTATTATTCAAATATTTAATTATATTTATCAACAGTTACAATCACTATAATTAAGTTTCAAGTGGTTCTGTGTTTCAAAAATATTGTATGAACGTTTTATTGACATTGGTCAATCCGTCAACTGTCTGACAATCAACAAGTCAACAATAGTACTCACTCAAGCCAATAGATGGAGCTTATAGCAATATTCATGCATCAGTTGTAACTCATTGTATAATATTTAGTTAAGAAGATGTTTCGAAGTTATACAAAGTTAAAAGCAGGGAATAAAAATTTATTCAAAATTGCAAATATCTAATGATCTGAGAATGTATTACATCAATTTACTGGGTACAGCTCTTCTTGACCGGGACTGACGGCCTAATGTGCTCTTCATGGCATTGGTTAAAAAACGCTCAGTCGTTCATTCGATTTGAACCTGCGAATTCGAGCACGTGTAGTCAAGTATATTGATCACCAGGTTAACAGAATGCGTTAAATAAAACACCTAACTACGTTACAACATTTCAGTTGCGTGGTAACAGCCGACCACGGCATGAGTAAAATGAATTAAAAATAAGTTATTATAAATTATGTATTTCGTGTTTTAAACGATCAAAAGTATTTTTTTAAGTACTCGCTAAGTATTTAGTAAGTACTACTCGCGTAAACAACAGACGATACTGAGTTATGTTCCTTTTTTTTCAGGTGAATTAAAATCTCCCTCCCGCAGCATCCCTCTAGGTACACTGACTGCGTTGCTGTTCACTGGGCTTTCGTACGTTGCGCTTACATTCCTCACAGCGGCGACGTGCTCTAGAGACTTGTTGCAGAATAACTATGTGTATCTGTTGCCAATTAACATCTGGTCTCCGTTCATTGCTGTTGGTGAGTGATTTATTTAAATGTTTATATGTATTTATTATTTATAAGGAATAAAAAGTGAAATCCTGTATGGCAGGTTCTAAACATACATGGGGTGTCCGTTTCACTCAGCAATTTTATTTACAGTAAATTCGACACTAAGTCTAGTGAGACACAGTTTATAATCATTTGTATCTCTTTGTAGGTATGTTGACAGCGACGTTTTCAGCCGGCCTCTCAAATCTTATTGGTGCTTCCAGGGTTCTAGAAGCTTTGGCAAAGGATAATATATTCGGTAGGTATTTTTATTCTTAAGCTCTGCATGATGAAAAACTTGGAGCATCGCGAACACAACGTTCCATGTTGTTGTGTTACATGTTACAGTGTCCATTAAAATATGTAACTTTTGCGCAATCAAATTTCAATCCTAACTTGTATGTGTTAAGTTTCAATGTTTTATGCTTATCAACACATACTAAAACTTCTTTTCTTCAGGTTTCATTCTCCGTCCGATGGTAACTCGTTCTGGGAACCCGGTGCTAGCTGTGATTATGTCGTGGTTCTTGGTGCAAATTGGTATCATATCTGGGTCACTGAACGATATTGCTCAGGTAGGGATAAGTTTCTTCTGTGGTGGAGACTAGAAAATCCTTGAGATTTTCATTTATAATGACTTTTATTTTATATTATTGAAAAAACACATTTTTTTTTTCAGGTGAATTCAGTTCTCTTTATGACAAGTTATTTTGCTATAAACCTTGCCTGCCTCGGACTGGATCTTGCGTCTGCGCCTAACTTCAGGTACTTTCGTCTTCTTTAGGAAAAGTTTAAATTGCCCCTTCCTGACTAGCACCTAAAACGTCGAGTCGTTATTAATTATTTTTATTTTACACCATTACAAATGTTTTATTTAAATGTGTATTACTATTAAAACTACAGACAACATTTTAATTGAAATTATTATTTTTATATATATTGTTAAAAATAGGTTAAACTATTTTGTAGTTGTTGTGGAAGATTTTTATTCTTATTCAGCAACAAATTGTTATTTTTATGACATGTTAAAAAACATATTTTTGTCTTGTGGTACCGTCACTATAATTTTTTTTACTAAACAATTGCTTTGTTGACAGGCCAACCTTCAAACACTTCTCATGGTTAACTTCCTTACTTGGTCTGGTCGGATGTGCTGCACTAATATTCGGTTTAAGACCAGCGTATGCTTGTGGTGTGGCGTTGGCCTGTTGCTCTCTAGTGGTGGCTCTCCATTTCCTTTCACCAGCCGCCTCGGAACCTAAATGGGGCAGCCTCAGCCAGGCTCTGATCTTCCATCAGGTAAATGATAAATCGTTGTAACTTACTATAATAATACGCTTTTAGATTTTTCTATTTAATTTATTATCATTGGCATCGTGTGGCAAATATTAAAGTTTTCAGATTTTTCTATTGCCAATATTTCTATTTTCAGGTTCGAAAATACCTTCTCCTGTTAGATCCTCGGAGGGAACACGTGAAATTTTGGAGGCCACAAATGTTGCTTCTCATATCATCTCCGCGTCAAGCAGCTCCACTTATTGATTTTGTCAATGACCAGAAAAAGGTATGCTTGCTATTGTAATCCATATTAAAATCGTAGTCAGTTTCATTTATTCGTCTGAAAACATTAGAAAAAAAAGTGTTACATTTGCGTATTAAGGTACCTTACTGTACCTTAATACGCAAATGTTAAGATTGAAATTACATTGCGCGAGAGGTGCGTGTATCAATAAGTTGAAAAAATTCGACGATGAGGTGTAGGACTCGGTGGACCGATCGGTAAAGCAACAGCACGGAACGCTGACGATGCCGGTTCAAGTCCTGCCCGAGTCGATTTTTTTTTCAATTTATTTTCGAATTTTAAATTTTTTAAATTAAAAAGAGATGCAATTTATTTTTTTAGGGTGGATTATTCGTATTAGGTCATGTGAGAGTTGGTGAACTAGATGGTAGCGGAGACCCACTAGCATCTGAACACAAATATTGGCTGAAACTCATTGATCATCTAAAGGTAAAAAAATATTAATTGCTATTGCATAATCAATTTAACCGCTGCCGCTAAACAAACTGTCAATGACAGTCTGTCAACCGTCACTACATCGAACATAACCTATTCATAAGTAAATGTAATGAACTTTACGTCCATTGATGAACGTAACAGAAACTTATTTAGTATAGAGAGAATACGTTTATATTGTTTTCTATGTAACTAGGTAAAAGCATTTGTGGAGCTTTGCTTAGCTGAATCAGTGCGCAGTGGTGCTGCACAGCTTACTCGGCTAGCTGGGCTCGGCGCTATGAAACCAGATACCGTGCTCTTGGGCTTCCGAGACACAGCCACCCCAAAGGACTTCTTTAGAGAGTTAGTGGTTACTCTATTCTCTTACACTAAATGAAAAAGGGACTTATTCGGTAGAAGAAATGTAACAATGAAATAAAAACATGTGTGAAATTTATATTTGTTCACAATGTTGTAAACAACTGCTTTACATGTAGTTTGCGAATAGTACACATAAAAAAAAGTAAAAAGCGGTTTAAAACGCATTTTAAACCGTTAAAAGTGTTCTATTTGAATGTGTTAAACAATTCATAAATTGAACAGTAGTGTCACTTTTTTCATCATCAATTATTAAATTAAATAATAATAATTAAATAATTTGTGATGGCGCGGTAACTCAATTGATTAGAACAACAGCACGGAGCCCTATGGATACCGGTTCTAGTCTTGCCCGTTTTTTAGCTTAAGATCGATTTTTTTTTAATATTTGAAGGAAATAGAAATTTTTACAGCCCAACGTCGCCGTATAAAACGGAACAATTCGACCTGGATTCGGGTGAAATTATATTCCCGACACGTACAACGGTGTCCACCCGGATATCCGCCTCTGAGTATGTCCGGATACTGACGGATGTGCTGTGCGTCAACAAGAACCTCTGCCTCTGCAGGAACTTTCATACACTGGACATGGCGGCTGTTGAGAGGTAAGTTGAAAAAAAGGTTGTTTTTCTTAATATGGCAGTCACAGGTACTCTAATCTTGCTTTAGTAATATTATTTTCATTCGTTGAAAAATATTTTCCTTAAACAAGAAATATATCTTTTTAATATGTTGCCTTTATTTTGGCTCTCGTTACGATTAGTTATATAAAACAATCATAAAACTCCAAGCATTTAGTAAAGACAAAAGGAGATCAGATTTTAATACATCTTATCGCAACACTTTTAATTATGTGTGTGGGCGGTCAAAAATATGAATTATAGAGGGTATGAGATATAAGTTACATGTGTTTCAAATACTATAATATATAATCTAAAAATTGGAAAATAAATTGAAAAAAAATTTGATTCCGGCAGGACTTGAACCGGCTTCGTCAGCGTTCCGTGCTGTTGCTCTAACCAATAACGGTGGATGCCGTCAAGTCCTGCCCGTGTTGTAATTTTTTTAAATCTAAAATCTATTTTTAATTAATATATTTATTTCTGTATCATACAGATTTTAATGGGAATCCATATATATAGTGTATAGTATACATTTAAATAAAACACTTTTTTCAGCTCAAAATGCATTTTAAACCGTTAAACGTGTTTTATTAAAACACATTTTATGTTACAGACGGTCGTCAAACCTGAAATTTATCGACGTGTGGCTGGTGGAGCTGCTGACCCCATCTCGGGAGGAGGCGTTCAGTGTGCGGGCGCTGTTCGCGTTGCAGCTCGCTGCTGTCGTTCGTTCGGCCAGAGGTTGGCAACATTTGAGACTGCGAGTCCATGTCGTGGACGCTACGCCGCTTTACGCTGATCGTATGTAGTCTTAAATTGTATTTTTAGTTTGTCTCGTATTCATTAAATAAAACACATATTTCGTCGTTTAAAAACACGAAATATACTCATTAACTACTTCAAAAATTATTAAACACGTAGGATCCAAGAATAAATGTTTTTTTTGTGATATGTCTTTAAAAATAATAATGACAATTGACACAGTATACCTTGCAGAATATGACAGTATGGAAAGTGCGGTAGAGAGAAGTAACCCGTCTCTATCTCCCGGAAGACCAGTTCACGAAAGATTGGAGGAACTACTGAAGCTGCTGAGAATCAGTGCAACTACACATACGGTGAACATTTATTTATAACTACTCGAAAATACTTTCTTCAAATACCTATTATTCTTTAAATAAAACCGAATTTAGTTCATGATTAATCACAGCACAGATATGAACAATTCAACAAATCCAGTTTGTAAGATTATAAGGCTCCCATAGTCTTCTATCTCTTCCAGACAACTCGAAAAGAACGATATTGATAAATATAAAGAAGAAAGAGAAAGAGTTATAAAAATTAACTAACTTAAAGTAAAAATTTTACTAAAATCAACAAAATAAATACTTAACAATAAAAAAAAAATAGAAACCAGTCAATTTTCTATTCATGTTATTACAACAAAAGTTACAAGAAAAAAATTTATAACATGTTGGTAACTAAAGGTTGTGTTTTAAATCTTATAAATCATATCTTTTCCAGGTCCCCGAATGGCCGGCGATAGAAGACTTTGGACAATGGTCGGAAGCCAGCTACGAAACTGGTAGTACCTTCAGTAGGGTGCCTAAAAGTTATTTACAGAGGTGGGTAGATTATTCCTTCTACCCTCATCCTGATTACGACTTAAGGTTATTTCCGTGTTCTTTGATGGGTTCGTTGGTCTAATGGTAGTCGACGAGTCATGGTGGTGATAGACCGCCAGGTCCAATATGTTTCTAATACATTTATAACTCTTCGGAAACATATTGGAATTTATTTATCCACTGGCAAGTAAATGGGAGACCCAAATTCTTTGCCCTGTCTAATCGGAACTTATCTACTTATACTGCATCACGCGGCTTGTTCTACAGGGTGAACGCAATAATAAGGAACCGCTGCAATGACGGCACAGCAGTGACCTTCGTCCAGTTACCTCAGCCGCCCAAGCTACCGCCCCGCGCCAGCAACGCTGACGAATCTCTTTGTGAACAGTATCTTAGCGTAAGTATTATATAGCAAACGGAGAAATTTATTACATAATATATGTGTATACGGAATGTAAGTAATGGGATCACACGCCTTTCCCCGACCCCCTCTTGCCTTCCCCCCTGTCATTCCTCTTCCCTGTGTCCTCTCCCCCTGCCCCTCACCCACGCTCTCTAACACCTTTTTGGCCGTAATGGAATATTGTTTCATCAGCTATTATTAACATAAAAATTACAGAGTGCACATTTGGAAACTAATATTTTTCACAGTGAATTTTTTTTAACATTTAATTTATATAACGCCATCATGTGCCTGTGGAATTTATATAAGCACACGTGAAAAATAATGGAGCTTTCCTCTCAACTATTTGTATTGTAATGGTGGTAGGAATATCAAAATTCCGTCCAGGTCACGAACCACCGTCCACAGATGAAAAAGCCTTGGAGTTTAATCGCTTTTGATTTCCGAAAACCTAAAACCCAAAAAGGGTGACAGCGCATCATTTACATGTTATATGGCTGGGGTGTTTCACAAACCCCCCAAACCCCCATCAAGTGGACCTCATCGTTCCTAAAAAAAATGAGGCAAGCAGTAATCACAATTCTGTGCGCCGGTTTAAAACGCGATTAATATTGTTTAGTTATTTGAAAATTATCTTAACTACGGCCCGACGTTACGAATTCTTTGCACAGCCGTGATCACGGGAAGACGTGGTAAAAATTTTCGAATAACTTAACTAATATATATCGCGTTTTAAGCCGTTAAAGTGTTTTGAACTATACGATTCTCTAATCAGCAATCTATTTTTAGGTGCTAGATGACTTCACCAAGGACTTGTCACCGACGATTCTAGTACGCGGACTCAAATCGGTTACGTCCACTGCCTTATAAGGAAGTAGATGGAAGTAGCTAATATGGTATCAAAAATTAACTTAGTAACTCGACATTGATTGAAACTTTATAGAAGATTTTATTGACTTAGATTTTTAGACTGACGATTTAATTTAAGTTACACTATTATCTCGTTATTTTAAACACAAATTTTCTCTGCATTTAATTTTGTTTAATTATTTGGAATTTTAATTTTATAGACTTTTCATTATTTCACTAATTACATCAATAGAAACCCAATGTTCAAAAATGATGGAGATACTGTGTGTATTTTAAGCGAGTACTACACAGCGTTTTAAACCGTTAAAAGTGTTTTATGTAAAAGGAAGCAAGATTTTAATTCATTGTCAATTAAAAATGCACTATTGTAGATTCGTAATTTTTATGTGAAATTAAGTATCAACGGACGACGTTTAGCATAATTTTTTTTTATTTAAATAGAAAAACTAAATGATGTCATTACAATGACGTCTGAATCGTGACAATTCATCCAGGTAGGTATAGACTGCTGACGTCATTACTAGGCAAGGGGGATTAAAAAACAAAGCAACAACCCTCCCCACCCCTACCATATTGGTGACGTACGAACGGGCATTATGGGGCTCATCGATACTATTTTAGACTTTACACTCGTCAATTCTTATGAATTTATAACTTTTTAGATGTTTTAGATAAATGTTTAGGTGAAAATAGAAATTTTCTTATTCCAAAAAAATGTCGCAAAACAGTGATTTTTATTATGAACTGACAATTATTATATATTTTAAGAAACCGAGTATTATACTTATGTCTTAGAGACTTTTTTTTTTCGACGAAAGTTTTTTTAAATGTACTAATAATATTTTTTTATTTTTCTTTACTTTTCTTCTTTCACGATTTGTACACATTAAAGCTGGTTTAAAACGCGATTTGTAGTAGTTAAACCTATTTAAAAATTATTATACCTAGTCTTCCCGTGACCACGGCTGCTGCAAAGCATTCGAAACGTCGGGCATTAATAAAAATCATTTTCAAGTTTAACTAAAACATATAACGTTTTACAGCGTTAAAGTGTTTTATTTAAATAATTGTTATATATTTTACATATACAAGGAAATATATAATAAGTATGATAGATGTCACGATAGAATTTACTTTATATATAGAATTTATTTTTAGTCCAAATTTGTTTATATATAAGAAAAATTTTGGAAATATTAGGCGGTCTTATTATTATAAGTAGGAAAACTTTTATCTATAATTAGAGCTTTTTCATTTCACATGATCGTCGGTTCGAGACCTGCCTGTGTCATTTACTTTTCCAATCTTTTTTTCTAAGTTCAACTCTATAGCATTATTAGTTATAACGAGAAACTCACTATAAGGTTTTTGATATAAAATCTTCGATTCATGGTCCTTATGAAGAGTTATATTAGATAAAATGTCTTTTAAAATTTTCTGTTCTTTCCTATATGTTTTCTTACTATATCTTATAACAAGGTATATTTATAAATAGGTAAGATTCTTAGCGGGATCAATATTGTTAAGATTTTGTATTATGCAATGTGATATCGCAATTAAATTAATATTTTCCTTAAAAGTGTTGATTTTTTTTATTCGTATAATGTTTTTTACCTTCCTTCAACTCCTCATCGTTCAAATCTTTCATCGTTTACAACGATACAGATGGCGTAGCGTAGAGATTTGACATTACGCTTTTTGACACCTCCATCTTCTGTGACCGCGGTGCACAAAGTACTAATACTAATAAAATTAAAAAATAAAATTACCAATATAATTCGCGTTTTTTAACTATATGTATAATAAGTTCAGAAATTACAAATAGTAACCACGACACCTCCACGCACTATATAATATACTAACTGTGCCAGCGACTTTGTCCGCGTAGAATTTTTTACATAGGACTAAATTTGTTTTTTTAAAAAAAAAAAAAAATTTTTAAAAAAATAAAAAAAAAAAAAAAAAAAAGTTACTTCCGCAAACTCTGTATCATGTTTATAAAGTCTTAGAAATAATTTTTGACTGTTACTGATACTGCAAACCTCAGCGGGATGTCGGTCGACGACGCCTGTCACAACGGCGTCCCGTGGTGGTCTTACAAATAAATCTTAATAGATAGTTATAAAGTCCCGAGGACATTTTTTTAGATCATTTAAAGAGGAATCATTCTTTCATACATATGTTTTAGGTAGCTTAAACAACAACAAATTTTTTTACTATTTCGCTACGGTATAAAACGCGATATCTTATTAGTTCATCTTATTTGTAAATGATTTTTAACTTCGGCCCGACGTTTTAAACCGTTAAAGTGTTTTATTTAAATGTGTACTACTAGCGTAAACAATAGACAGTAGTCGCAGCGCGATGTTTTATAGATTAACGCTTTCCTCGATAAATGCTCTAACCGATATACAATTTTCAATCCGAACCAGTAGGTCCTGAGATTAGCACTTTCAAACAAACTCTTCAGTTTTATTTGTATAGATATATGACGTATATTCACAGTAGCGTAGCTAGGTTGACAAGAGCCCCAGTCTACCTAATCCTAGGGCCTAAGAGAGAATCGGGTTCTCATCTCTTTCAGCCTAGCGTGAATTAAATAAACCTCCAAAATTATAAATTGCAACATAACCAGTCTATTTAAATACATTATTATCCCAGGGGCCCCAAGTTCCGGGGCCCTGTTGCATTGCACTACCTGATCCTACGATAGCTACGCCACTGTATATTTACAAAACATGTGATCAAAAATACAACAAGTGACTCGATCATCGTTAGGGAGGATAATATTATATGATTACATCTAAAAACCAACGAAAATCTTTTGAAATCAAAGTAAGTTGAAACTGAGGCTGTAATCTGACTCCTTTGATGCTCTTCAGCTAGTAAATTGGATCCGGGGGAAACTCCTTGACCTACTGCCTAAGCTTCATCGGGATAAAAGAGCTTGAAGATTGAACTCATTATATTTTGTAATCCTTTGTATTCGTTTTAATAGTACCAATTGAAATTCCTGCGTAGCTTTCTTCAGAAGGGTGGTAAAGATAAATCTTATTGTGGACATTCTTGACATATTTTAGATTAATTACTTTAAAATTGACAAATAAAGAGATTTACCCCGGTGGGGCATGGGGCGAACACATTTCTATGTTAGTTTCACTGACTGGTTTTCTTTACATTTGGTCAGATTTCTGCACCCTGCCGGATCCGTAACATTTAATTGGTTCCTCAAGCTTCGAAGCCAGGACTTCCAGCATATTTAGCCATTTAGCTACAGAGGCGGTGCAGATAAGTTTTTCGTTTTACCCAATCTTATATATTATTTATTTTTAATTGACATTTGCTACTTAAACGATTTTGAATTGTCCTATTTAATGTTAAGCTTTCCATATTTAGAGTTTTAAAATAAGAAAAACCGTTTTATTTAATATGTACCACGCAATTTGAAAATTTGAAAGGGTCGGTCGGTTAGTCTTTCTATACCAAACCGTTTAAATTATAAACAAAAATAAGTTAATTTTAACTCTTGCTTAAGCTTAAGTTTTAATGAAGCTGGCGAATGAAGTAGCTATTAATATTTAAGCTATACTGCGAAGTTTTAGAACCTAGTTACACTTAAAATATAGATCGAGATGTATTTGTGGATTGCAACGGATTCGGCAACCCGACATACAAATCCTTTTATCACACACATGTATACACAGACAGACTCGGATAACTAATCTACGTAGTCCTAAATGGCGGCTGAAACATATGTATACCCTATTTAATGTAAACAATTTTAACGGGCTTAAAAGAGAAACATATTAGTTACGACGTTAGTTATCAAGTGTTTTATATCTTGAGACCGTCCTCCCCATTGAAATTTAAGTAGTAAAATATATTACGAGTAAGAAATATAGTTTGAAAAATTTATATACTTCGCGTTTTAAACCATTTAAAGTATTTTATGTAAATATAGTTAAATTCTTTGTTTTACGTAATTTAAGGTTGTTTAAGATGCGTTGTCAGCCTATTTTAGCTAGAACTAGACTGGAAACAAAAACGTGCACTAAACATATACATCTTTATAAGTAGAGCATATAATTTATTGAGAAATATGCATTACAATGATCCAAGGCATCTACGTTCCTATTTGTTTGAAGCAGTCGCGTTTCCGGACTGTGACGTCACACCCTCGATGGCGCCGATGACGTCATAAAATGAGTTCATCACTTACGCAGGCTGTATTGGATTAACGAGTTATGCAGATAGGCCCTTAATTTTTATCTTGATCGTATCATTGTTTAAATATTAACTTAGTCAAGTGTTACATGTAAAGCTACAGCAGAAAAGTCTTCTTCCCTCCCTCTTCTTTTTTGCTTCTTTTCAATTTTTAAATGAAGGTCGTACAACGAATAAGAAGAACTCTCAAGAAGAAGAAGAATCTCTCTTTTTATTTCCAAGCTTCAATTTAGAACCTTTACAGAGTAGGTACTTTAGTTTTTTTGCATAATTTATCTTTATTTAATAGGCTTTAACCTAACTAGGTTATGTCGTCCAATAGGACAAAAGTTACAAATTACAAATTAATAGACTTAAACTATCTACATCATAGCCTCATAATATATGTTTAGTAGCATCCTAGCGACCCCTGAAAATGGAAAGGCTAAGACTGAAGATGGAAAGACTATCACCAACATTTTTACACATATAGATTTAAGCACTATACTGTAAAAGTTTAATTCAATTTTGTCACTCATTCTATAATGCAGTAAATAACTATTACCACGGCTGCTGCAATGCGTCCGAAACGTCATAGTTGAAAGTAATGTTCAAATAAGTATATCGTAAATAAGTCGCTGACACAGCTAGTAAGAAATACGTATGTAAATCAAATAATTTGTCGTAAATATTTTCTTGCGCAAAACCTGTGCCTAATAGCTTATAATATATTAATATCATGTCTCAGAGCTCATATCTCAATCCATCATAATTTTTTGTTTATTTCAGGAGAAACT